CCCTAGTAGATAGATAGATAGATAGGTAGATAGATAGATAGATAGATAGATAGATAGTAGATAGATAGATAGATAGATAGATAGATAGATAGATAGATAGATAGGTAGTAGATAGATAGATAGATAGGTAGATAGATAGATAGATAGATAGATAGATAGATAGATAGATAGATAGATAGATAGATAGATAGATAGATAGATAGATAGATAGATAGATAGATAGATAGATAGATAGATAGATAGATAGATAGCTGGCGCTTCTCACAACAGCAGAATGGGTGCGCGGGAGAGGAAGGGGATGGGTCCGCTGACGTGAGAGTAGTGCGCTGTTTAGTTCCGTGGGTTCTATATACAGCGTTTGAATCAAATACAGATTCACCGCTTGATTTTGTATGTGTAGATGTAAGTGTTCAGCCGTAGCACAAGTCTCCGTGTCCGTCTTGTTGTGAGAGTCTGTTGACAAATGTAGTAGTGTACATATGAATGTGACAAATGTGGAAATCGAGTGGGGGAGAGAGAGCACGCGTGCGAGAGATATTTAGAAAGTAAAGAGAGACAGAGAGAGAGAGAGAGAGAGAGAGAGAGAGAGAGAGAGAGAGAGAGAGAGAGAGAGAGAGAGAGAGAGAGAGAAAGATGGTAACAGGAAGGTAGTGAAAGAAATAAAAATAAAATAATATAAAAGAGTCGCGTCATAGAGATGTAATATATATATATAATATATGCTATATCGTTGCAGCAAGGCACACGCATGCTGGTATCCCACGACATGGACATGACTAGTGCGCAGTACATTCAGTTTGTCTACAAGTATGGCTGCGGGGAATCAATGGCCCCGGGGTCAACCAGCAGTGTACTCGTGCAGTACTCCAGCAATGGTGGCATCACCTGGAATTTACTCAAGGAAATCAAGAACAGGTGAAGAGCCCCCGTAGCAACTGTCAAGTATAGTGAGACGCGTTAACGCTAAATATTAATATCAATACGTTGATTATTCACGCTTTCTCCGCAATATAATTAATGTATTTATGTTCCTGATGAAGTCGTAATATATTTGCATAGAGATATATGGTATGAAACAATTGTATGTAGTAATTGCAGAGGTAATGCGTTGATCGAAATAGGTAATTATTTAATTAGTTCCGAGGTTATGCATGGCTAAACAGTTGTTCACTGTCTTCCACACAGAGAGGCGATTGAGCCCCGATTCATGCACCTAGACTTCCCCTACCAGGGCAAAACAAACTCCACGCGAATCCGCCTGTGGCAACCCCAGCACGGAGGTGAGTAGGGCTTCCTTAGATGGTCAGGGTTTCCGTTTATGTGCGTGTTGCCTACTCCTCCGATAAGGCATGGTGCTGCCACCTTTTGCATAAAAAAACATCTAATTCGCCGATCCACCGCGTGATTTCTGAATTCTGTTATTTGCCGAATAGGTCCCGATGCTAACGTGTGGGCGGTGGATGACATAGTTGTTGGTGGCGAGACAATTGCTCCCAATGTCATCTATGACCCGCTGACCTCTGCTCCCCAGGGAAACGCTTTCCTGTTCTGGCCAGGAGGCAGAACGGATGCTTACTGTTCCAGGTGTTATACTAGCTTACACTCGTCGTTATTACTAATAGTTCTACACGTGTTACCAGCATATTAATATAGTAAATGAGTATAGATACTTTTAGGGTGTTACTAAATAATGTTGTCATCTTTAGGGGGATGGGTTAGAAATGTATGTGTGATTGCTCGGTACCCCACGTTAGTGTTGAACCATCTTTCATGTACGATTGACCATAAAACCATTGTTTAAAGAATTCACAACTACAATAAGTACATGTACTTAACGTATTGCTACAAATTCAACATGGTGGGTCCCATTACTTATTGTCACAGTACCATGGCAACACATTTGTCATCTACGCAGTTATCAACGTTGAGTAAAGTTGACACTCTTTGTTTATTTTCATCAGTGGCCAGCCGGCGCTAGTTTTCGACAGATTCAGCGGACAGAGGGCGCTCTATACGAGAGATATACAGGTTGATCAGGGCTCTGTTATACAGTTTGAGGTAAGAATCGGGTAATTAGAGTTACTGCTAACTGAAGTTGAGTTGCTGCGTATGGGATACTGTAAAGCTGTAGTCGTTCCAGATAGAAACTATAAGTGTGGAGTGTATATCAGAAGATTGACGTATGAACATTGTCTTCGTATATATATATATATATATATATATAGAGAGAGAGCGATAGAGATAGAGAGAGAGAGAAGGAGAATGGTAGGGATGGAGTGCAGATGGATGAGTGAGAAAAACGAGATAGTGAAATGACTGAGCCATCGGCTACAGAGGAGCTTGTGTGGATATTGGTGATCCAGTGGCTCTAGTTAAGTTTGTATGGATTTAGCTCATAGATCTCTCATTTTGATTGTTTTCAGATTAGAGTTGGCTGCGGTGGGGAGGGTAACGCTGATAATCCTGTCCGGTTTGAGGTGTCGACGGATAGTGGGGAGACGTGGTCGCTGGTGCTGGGTGCAAGCTCTAACAGTGCCACCACGGCCGATTCAGGTTATTATTATTATTATTATTAAAGCTTTATTGCATGTAATTCAAATACAAGTACATGTACTGAGGACAGTCTTTTTCATGGAGAAAAAATCTGATGAATGCAATGGTGGGTGCAAGCTCCAACAGTGCCACCACGGCCGACTCGGGCATTTCTTCTTCAGCTGTTACTTTCAACAAATGATTTGCACAGAAATTGCATAGCAAGTGTTGGCAGTGTTGGTTTACGTAGAGATCTGTGCAAGCTATATCTGTTCTGTGCTTCTATGGGTGTGTTTTATATTTCAGGTTGTGGCGAGCAAGATGGCGTCTCACCAGGCGGCAGCAGCATCTGCAGGTGGAGCGAGACAAGGCCGAGTATCTACTACAAGGATGGCTCGAGGGAGTGGATGCGCGTGACTGTTCCCTACACCAGCATACATTACTGCGGGTACAGAACCAATCACACCGATCACACAACCAACCACCATCTCATAGCCAAGAGATTTCGTCTGCTCAGCGGTCCCTCCATCCTCGGTGTATCTTCCTATGTCTTTATTTGATCTATGTCTATGTTTTTTTATAGCTTTTTTTGCATGTCTTTTCCTTCAGTGCGGCGCGATTCAGGTGGTTCCAGGGAGACTACGATACACTGGACTTGCCGCCAACCTGGGCTCTTCAGAACCTATACGTCGGGCCCGCCTGTGTTCGGCACTGCGGCGGTAGAGGGCGCTGTATCAACGGCGACGTGTGCGTTTGCGACGAGGGCTACAGTGGGGAGTTCTGTGAGCTGGCTGCTAGTCCAAACCCTTCATACATCAAGGAGAGCTTCCAAGGTTCTACATTGTTTTATCACGCGACTCAGAAATCTTTTCGTATGGATGTGATTCTATACTGTGGTTTACTGTATGAATTAATTAATGAATTAAGCTCCCACGTTAGCCACCTACGATAGCCCTGAGATAAAAAATCTCAGGGTGTATAAATTATCATGCTATTTTGTTATTAATCATTTATCATTATTCATCATCCCATATCTATTGGCCGGCGAAACACTCCAAACTCGATTTGTATTTGTGATGGCATTGTTATCAGTCCATAATTACCAGCATGAAATTGCCACGGAGGATTATATATGCACTGAGCTTGACTTGTCTGTGCCATGTGCTGCCATCTAGATGCGGCCGTTGACACGAGCCGGTGGCTGCATGTGAGTGGAGCAGAGCTAGATGACTTCTGTGGGAGTGACGTATCGAGTCGCTCGCTCCACTTCACTCTCCCGGGCGAGCGCGCCTTGACATCCCGTGACCTTGACCTGAGATTTGTCAGGTGAGTTGTCGTCGTCGGTCGGGTTTTCGGGATTTTTGCGCCCGTGTGCCTCGATGAATGTTTAATAGAATGGTTTGATGAGACGTTGTCTCTCACACCCTTTCTCTCCCTCTCTCCTCCTTCTGTCTCTCTCTATCTATCTTTCTCCTCCGGCAATCTCCGCACATCCTTTCCTCATTCCCTAGCTATCTCTGCTATGTGTCCCTGCTGCTATCTATCCCAGCTGTTAACTATCCCTGCTCCTATATCTGCTATCTAACTCTGCCCCTGCTCCTATATCTGCTATCTAACTCTGCCCCTGCTCCTATATCTGCTATCTAACTCTGCCCCTGCTCCTATATCTGCTATCTAACTCTGCCCCTGCTCTGCATTGCAGCTCGGTACAGTTCCACCTGAGCCTCGGCTGTGGCAAGCCGCTGCCTAGTCGCGGGGTCACGCCGGTGCTCTTCCAGTACTCGACGGACGCCGGAGTCTCGTGGACGACGATCGAGACGTTTGGATTTCTCGGCGAGGGCGAGGAGTCCGACTACTTTGTTCTGGACGTTCCCGAGGCTGCGCGCACTGCCGCCACGCGTCTGCACTGGTTCCAGCCAAGCTGCGACGGCACGTTCGCTGCTGACTGGAGCATCAGCCAGGTGAGCACACGCGTGCTGCCATCTACCGGCTGTATTCGCTGCTAAAGTGATTTTTGTTTGAAATTCGTTTCTGTTGCGTATATATTCTGTATTGTCTGTAATTATTTATCATTGTTTTTTTTGTTTTTTTTAAAATTTATATCCTCTTAGCTATTGTACGTTGTGTATTTCTGTGTGGTAACACGGGAATTGTTCTGTCATTGTCTTCGTTATTGGTGCTGTTACTGCTGCTGCTGTTGTCGTTGTTGTTGTTGTTGTTGTTGTTGTTGTTGTTGTTGTTGTTGTTGTTGTTGGTGGTGGTGTTGTTGTTGTTGGTGGTGGTGTTGTTGTTGTTGTTGTTGTTGTTGTTGTTGTTGTTGTTGTTGTTGTTATTGTTGTTGTTGTTGTAGTTGTTGTCGTAGTTGTTGTTGCTGTTGCTGCTGCTGCTGTTGTTGTTGTTGCTACTGCTGCTGCTGCTATCATTGTTCTTGTTGTTTTTCTTTCTGTTGACCCCACTATTATAGAACCGTGTGCGGCGAATTAATTATTTATCATCGATGCCTTCCTTTACAGGTCTACCTCGGTGGAGTTGACAAGGCAGAGCTGGTGATGCGAGATGACTTCAGCGCGGACGAGGAGGAGGAAGAGGACGATTTCTGGATCCGGCAGGCAGGATTCCGCCACGGTGCCTACTGCGGCCGGCTAAGCAACGCTCTCGTATTCGACGGTACGGCGATCTGTGCCTCGCAAGTTATCCCGTTAGTTACCCGTACAGGAAGCTTCCGGACTCTCCTGAAGCTAATTCAAGGGGAAATATATTCGAATCGGTTTGCAAGCACAGCAATTTAAAGCACGTGAATAGACGCTCGAGGAATTGCTTATGCGCTTAGTGTTTTCCTAGTTTATATTATTATTGTACTTGTTTTTTCTCTCGAATAAACACATCAGATGAAAACTCGAGTTACGCACGATTAAAAAAATTTGTAGGAGTGAGAATGATTTAGAGCCTGTCGGTGTGATGAAATCACGTGCTCGCGATAGCTGTTTCTTTACATTGCAGGACCGGACAAGGCCAGGTTTGCCGTCTCTACAGGAGTGCAGGTCACTGAGCTGTCATACATACAGTTTGATTTGGCTATGGGCTGTCTCCCCGGGCCGTGCTTCAGTATGTGCAACTTCACACACAATACTCTCAGCTACATCTAAGCTAGCATACTCCCTGTGATGTCGAACAACGCAGAATTGTCTTCAGTCTGACCGCAGTGGTGACGTAGCAATAGAAAAATATCGGTTCGTGACAGCAATATACATGTGTCCTAAGAAAAATGGATAAGACATGATTTCTCAAGTTCTCAAGTCATCTATTTGTTGTTGTAGGCATAAACCTTGAATTCTCAACGGATAATGGCAAGAAGTGGCAACTGATTGATAGTGGCTGCAATCCTTCAGACGTGTCCTGCGATCATTTCTACGAGTCGACTAGCTTTGCATCAGATCTGAACAAGGCATGGACTAGAGTAACACTTAAATTGCCACTGTACACTGTGTAAGTTTGAAACTAGTTAACGTAATCCGTCGTGATTAATTTTAATAATGCTTCATTTATTTATCATCAAACTAGACCAATTTGTTGACTTAATTTAATTTATTTGAATAAATTCGTAATCAATATGGAAATCATTACTCGTTTAATCCGGTTCTCAACCTTTTATTTGGATAATTATGAAACATTTAATGGAAAAAAAGATCTGATTTGCGTACATTTAACTTGTGCGCAATGAAACAGCAGCTAGTAATCAACGAGCCACCAAGTATTTTTGTACCTGTGTGAAAGTAGCACAATGGTGTGTTACGTTAGTAGCAACTCTCATCATTACCTCTGCCAAGGAGGTTATGTTTTCGCCCATGTTAGTTTGTTGG